CTGCGCAGCCATTAATCCTGTTTTTTCTGCCCCGTTCAGGGATACACCTTTGTTACACTCATAAATAAAATTCTATTGCTTCACCAAATCAGTGACAATCCCAGAACAAACACTGCACGGCCGTGAACAACAGGGTGATAGAAACTGTTTACAGTATAAAAAGTGTATGTTACCATAGCAAAACGCAGGCACTTTCTTCAAGGGTGAGCTCACACCATTCATGTGGTCTGATACATCTGGTGCGCTAATAGTATGGTATATACACGTGGGCTCGCCTAAGGAAAATGTGGCATGCTCAGCATATTTTTACCATTATTCATAGGCCACAAATACGGCAAAAATCTTAGAATACAGAAAAGTATATGACTGCAGAAATAAAATGGTCAGCACTGATTTTTCTTTTTTAGTTACAGAAGGTTATTCTTCTAGTCTGGGCCCCCGAGGGATTCACTGACAATTGGCAGACAGGCTTCTGTTTCTGTTACAGGCCCTACACTTTGTGATGCTGTACTTTTTACGAACAGTCCATGCAGAAATAGAAAGAGACACAGGTAAAACAGCATCTTCTTTACTGCATAGTAATTCATTTTCTTTATGCTGTTTTGATTCAGGGGTGTTTCTAGGACCCTAATAGGCCACAGGCACCTCTGGGCACACAGATGAAAGTGGCTGGTAGAATACGATGATGACACAATCTTAAGTGAACAAAAATGAATTGGTGTAAAAATTGTAATGTCACATTATGATGACATGACTGAAATAAAGATTGAATGCATTTACATTGCTTAGAGAAAAAAAAAAAAATATTGCTGAATTAATCAAAAGTAGATATCTTACACAAAGTGCCAAACTGCATTATGCATGAAATGTGTCATCTCCATATCTCAAAAGGAGACCTGAGGCACACTGTAGAAGACCTGGGGTACGTGCCCTGGGTGTCAGTGATTAGCAACGCCTCAGATTTTATTACTAACAGACTGGAGAGGAAAGCATCCATGGAAAACCTTTTAGATCATCTTTATAATCAGCCTTTTGTCTTCCCCATTGCCTGCATCTCCCCCTTTCGCAAAAGTTTGTGGGTTTTCTTCATTCTACCTCTGGAGGAAGGTCGTTGGAAAGGCCAGAGGAAATGGTTTGCTGCCTTGAAATATTTACAAAAAGTATAGATCTTGGGAATCAGATCTTCAACACAATTGATTAGACATTTCTTAAAAGTCTATTTCCACTATTGCAGCCAAATTGGGATAGCACCTATTTTATATTACATGTTCCTATTCGCATAGCATACACTACAAAAACATTTAAAAAATGCTTCCTGCAGTTTAAAGTGTATTTCCACTATTGAAGCCAAATTGGGATAACATCTATTTTATACACTACATGTTACATGCTCCCATTCACATTCCATAATAATAAAAAACAAATACAAATTGCTGTTTATATTTTTAAGTGCTATGTACTTGCTTATAAATTCCACTTAGCTCCCCCATATGTTATAATAAGGAGGGGCTTTGGGAAGTTATCTTTACTCTAATTAACCCTTTGTGTACTGTGCTTAGAATACTTGTATGTTAATGAGAAGAAGCTCAGTCTGACCATCCACTTTCAAACTACTCAGAGTAGCCTGGAATCTGCACAAAGGCCTTCACCAAAGCAGCATCTAAAATAAATAATTTTTTAGTACGCTGTGTGAATGGGAACGCATAACAAACAGAGTGGGGTTGTCCCAAATATGTCTGCAAAAGTTGAAATACTCTTTAGGAGTTTATAAAACAAAGCTGCTTGAAGCTTGGGAAACACTTTGCAAGTGTTTTGTACATGACTGCTGTACAGACTGCTCTTCACTAGTACATGTTGCTGCTTTCTAGATAGCAGAGTCATTTATTGACCTGAAACTCTGCAGAGGATAAACATTTCTCCTAAACAGGTAGTATCTGTTCAATAAATGACACACCAAAGGAAGATATCATACCAATTAACTTCATAGTGGATGATAAAGCAAATCTTCCCTCTGTTTAAACAACGACTGACTATGCAATTCAACATACAAAGAGAGCAGAGTTCCTACCTTGACCTGTATTTCTTCTAAAACATCTTCACTGGGGGGGAACTGCATATCAATTTACTGCACCAGAAAAATGTCCCTTCAACAGTTAAACTGTGTAAGCACCTGATAAGTGGTTTCTAAACCCCAAAAAGCAATATGTAATATATTGCAGCTTTCCAGTCCTTAAATAAGGTGGCTGCACTGATTTTCTTTTTTTCAGGCTTTTTTTCATTTCATATTGATCTGGTAATCCTGGTGAAAAACACACTTCCTGTCCTGGGGTGGCCACTCTACTGTGTCTATAGATGACACCATGGTTGTCACACTGGCTGCTCTCCTGATTTGGACTATAAAGATGTCTCTCTCTCCATCTCAATTACATGTTCCCCTTGTGCTTGCGTGGGTTTCCTCCGGGAGCTATGGTTTCCTCCCGCAGCCCAAAGACATGCTGGTAGGCTAAATGGAATGTCAAACTTGACCCTATTTTGTGTGTTTGTGTTTGCATAGGGATAGGGAACTTAAGATTGTACGCTCCTTGAGGGCAGGACTGATATGACGATATAATATGTAAAGAGCTAAGTAAATTGTCAGCGCTATATAAATACCTGTAACAAATATGTTTTCAGTCTACAGAAAGAAAGAAAAGACGGTTTGTGATTTCAGTTCAGCTCACAGGAAGTGACAAGGACACAGCATGTCTGACAAAATCGGCAGACATTTTCTGTACTTGCGCAAAATGTTCTTAGCCTGAAAAATGAAAACTTATGCAGCCACCATATCGAAGGTCTGGAAAGCTGCAATATGTTACATTTTTTTACTTTGGGTTTAGATACCCTGATCGTGACTGGCTCATGAGGGTAGACTGTAGCAGCTTCCATATTGCACTGCATGAGGGGAAGACTACCTCCATATTACATTTTAAAAAGGGGTCAAAATGACTGATGACTAGTGATAAATCTTATTAAGGGAAAGTGTTTTCCATTGTTTTAAATAAACCTTAAAAGTGATCAGATTCCTATATCTATATATAGCCACTGTCTGTCTATCTGGTTGGTTTTCAACTGGTGGTTTGTGACCCAAAAGTGTGTCGCCGCATGCCTTACACATTTCTAGTCGAGAAGCTCCTCAGCCTCCCCTAGCGCAGCACTGACCTTCTTGGGTCAAGTAGCCATTCAAAATACGCTGCCCTGTGCCGAGTGTCAGCCTGAGGTGGGTTGGGGTGGGATAGAGCTATGGCCGCGAGGGAGCTCCATCCATATATGTGCATTGCTTACAGCTCCCTCACGTGTCCTGTAGCGATCCCTGGACCAGAGTAAGGTCACATTCTGACTACCGGTACCTCTACAGGGTGCACAAGGGTACAAGCAATGCACATATGGATGGATGGGTCACAGCACAGCAGCCTTCACTGGACCCCAGGCTGAGGATCCACTCCAGTTCTTGTAAGGTAGGGAGACTGAGTGGATCTTAAAAAAATCAATACATTTTTTCTGTAATGTGTATAAGTGTGTGAGATTGTGTGTGTGTCAGTGTTTTTGAGGGCCTGTTCACACTAGTACATTGAGTTAATCGAACAGTCCTGTTCCATTAACGCACTGCACCACGCAATCTGGTGCATTACATTGCTATTCATTTGGATGGCACCCCAAAATGCACCTCCCACCCACAGTTCAATCGCCTGCACCGGAACATGCTGTAGTGTAATGCCGTGCGACTTGGGTCGCGACTTAAAGACCAAGTACAAATGTGGGTCCTGAGGTTACACACTTTGAGAACCACTGATCTATCTCAATGTGTTTAAACACATCTGTTGGCTATTGGGCTATCAGGTCAATGGGAGATTCAGCCCAACAGCCAACTGCAGGGGTATACACGGCAGGCTCACAACGTAGCACCTATTTCCAAGACAGTAGCCAAGTGTTGTCACTCTGCAACAGGACGTTTGGTTATTGAAAAGATCTCCAGGTAACAAACTTTGGAACAGATTCACAAAAATATCATTTGCTTTAGGCCCCTTCCACACGGGCGTCCATCCGCTCTGATCAGCTAGGGATCTGTGGACAGATCTGGTGATCAGAGCAGCATGGAACAGATACCACTTTTGTGATAACCAGGTCTGCTCATTTATTTCCAGCAATTTGCAATGGAGGAAAAAACTCAACTAAACTGGACCCATGTTAGGTCCAGGGGCAGTTGGATGTAAAGGGATGTGGGTCTGTTTACATCCTGATACCTTCAAATCTGTCACGTTCAGGTCCACCAAAACACAACACAACTCTTTTCTGGTTTGTTTTGGCCCTAGACAGACTCAGAGGAAGTCTAGGGCTAATGTTTTTAAAACCTTGTTTATATGTATGATTTGTAATTCCTGTAACTCAAAGTATGTGCTTACTGGAAATGGACAAGATTTCTGTTTCATGCAGCTGTATACCATCAGGGGAAGAGGATACATCCTGGAGTGTATAAACTACGATACGCAGCTGGTATCACTCTTCGACATTCGTGAAGTTTCACAAAGCACTTGGGTAACAAATGAGGTATAGAGCAGAGACACAGGGCTCATGTACATGGGGATTTGTTTTCTGCTTGTAAAGTGCTTTGAAGTGATAAATATGGATTTTCTAAAACCCCTTTCACTCATACTGAAAGTTCACTTATATATGATTTGTGGAAAATATGATTCCAACCATGTAACCAGGGCTGTATTACTAACTGAAGTGATGATATGACTCTCACTTATGAGGTACACCATACAATAGTTCCCCTTTAGGCATCAGTCCATTGTTCTTCTCTGGTCCCATGCCTCTGAATACAGGCGTCCCACTTCTACACAAGGCGGGAGGAGACCGCAGGAATGCGCACACATTCATGTTTTTACATGAGCTGTAGCTGAAGCACTTCCAGAGAATGCAGACTGGGTTATGTTGTCATATATCCGCTCAGGGAATGTTACCTGTTAATGGTGAGAGACAGATCATCTTCACAGGCTTTGATTTTGTTCTGTGCTTCTAAATGAGTCATTCCGTCTGTGTTCTCTCCATCAATGGCGATCACTACATCTCCGGTACACAGCTCAGCCAGAGCAGCCTTGCTACCGGGAGCCACCTGTAAGAAGAAAAAGAGTTCAATGATATATCATTCATGGGGAATAGGATTCAAAGAGTGCAGCCAGGGCTGTTCTTACCATATGGCCCTCCGGTGCCTAGAGCAAAGGGGGCACCCCAAATCCTTTATTTTACTACTATAAAAAGGTAAAAAATGGCAGCTGTGAATTAACGGTACCATTAAGTCAAAGGTGTTTGCATTTAAACCAACTCTGGGTATACAGCCCATTAAGCTTAAAGAAGAATGCCGGGAACTTTTTTATTAACACTTGCAGTGGGGTGCTCATTTTCGCCTAGGGACTAAAAATTTTTAAAAAAGTTATATACTCACCCGAACCTTGGATTAGGTCGGCTGTCACAGCACTCCCTCGCCATGCTTCAGCGATGGTATGTCCCTCGGCGTTCTCCCTTCCTGTACACGATGTATAGAATGTGATGACTCAAGGATCCTTAGACTGCTGCAGTGGAGCAAAGCTGGAAGGACCTTTCTACAAGCAAGCCAGCTCGGAGGTTCAGGTGAGTATGGGCAGCACAGTGGTGTAGGGATTAGCTCTTCTGCCTTGCAGCACTGGGGGTCTCTGGTTCGAATCCCGGCCTTGCACGATCTGCAAGGGGTTTGCATGTTCTCCCTGTGCTTGTGTGGGTTTCCCCCGGGTACTCCCACACTCCAAAGACATGCTGGAAGGTTCATTGGCTCCTGTCTAAATTGTCCCTGTGTGTATGATGTGATATAAGGACCTTAGATTGTAAGCTCCTGATGTGAAACTATGTAAAGTGCTGGGTAAATTGTCGGCGCTATATAAATACCAGTAATAGAGAAAACGCACACTTCTGTATAATAATAGAAAAAAGGTGCATTCATTTTTATTTTTTTTGCATTGGAGCCAGTAAAGCATTGCAACCAAGATTAGTGGATGGCAAGTGCAATGCTCTGGCTCCTGCAGACTCTTCCTCCCATCTATGTCCATACCTCGGTACGAACATTCAGTAACAGGGACCGGAGGAAGAATGATTGCACTACAAGACTGGTGATGTCACTGCACTTGTATTCCATTAAGAACTACAAGTCCCTCTGCTATGGTGGCTGGTGGCACTTGTATCTCCATTCATGGATCCTATCAAAGGATCTGTAAATGGCTGTGCGAGCCGAGCCACGCACAGCCGCACTGAGTTCAAGCTGCAATCACTTAGCAAGAATTTTCAGACCGGCACTATCAATCGACTTTACTGAAAATGGAGGGCTGCAAACAAGGCCACACACTGCTCAAAATTTCAGCAGCATTCCAGCAGTGTATGGCCAGGGCTGTCAACAGTGCTTTGCATTGCAGTATCACTTTTTGGCAGGATCACCAGGTATTTTTGTGTAGGAGCAGCTTTTTCTACCCCAGATATACACTTTCAGCATAGCTGCAATGTTGGCTGGGTACAGTCAGCACTTCTCTGATCGGATTGTTGCCCTTGAAAGGTGTAAAATAAACCCAATGATGTTGGTTTCCTCAAGAATGACTGTGTGTGCAGATCAAATGGGATTCAAATGTTAACACACAAGCAGCAGCCACGAATATGCTTTAATGTTATTATTCAGGATGTTCTATTGCAGGGCAGGCAACCTCTGCACCCCATCACGCCTCTCCTCTGGAGTGTTGCAAAGCATCATGGGACTTGTAGTTCCACAACAGCTGGAGTGCTGAGGTTGACAGCCCATTGACACATTTATCTAGGTTTGCCGTTTCAACATTGTGTTTTTTTTTTTTTAATAGTGCAAACCTGAACTCCCGCTTTTTTTATGTCTTGCTTTTAGCAGTGACAGACTGACAAGTCTCAGGAATTTGGTATGTGTCTTTTTATGGTCACACAGAAGGTAGAGAACAGATTAAAATCACATGCTGACTGCCTGGCAGAGGATATTGCTTCACTCCTTAGACCTTCTGCTTTCATCGCTGTAACATGGACTGTACAAGTGATGGCCTTAGCTGTACTTTACTATAGGACTGACATTGTATGTGCAATGTGAGGTATCTCTAAGGGCCTGTTCACATGAGTTTCAGGTCCTGATTTTTTTGTTTTTTTTTGCTGGAGTGGGGTTAATCAGTATGTTAGCTGCAGTGCAGTGCATTTTTGATGCGTTTTGCGTTTCCAGACCGTTTCCTGACCGTACAAAATGTGAAAACGGACTGCGAACGTGAGAACTGTAGCCCATAAAACACATAGGGATACATTGGGATGCATTTTTAGTGCAGGAGCGTACGTATCAGGTCAGCACCGAAAACGGACGTCGTGTGAACAGGCCCTTAGATTTCTTTCATATGTTTAATATGTTGAAGTGACAAATGATGTAGTTTGGGAGAATTTTAAAGCCTGATCTAAAACCGATACAGCCCTTATCTCGTAGGGAATACTCACCCCTGGGGTATGGGGTACTAGTAATAGCACGCCAAATGCGGCAGTGCAAACTCAGAGCACGTCACAAAATTTGCTACATACACAACTTTTCCCGCATTTGGCGCGTGTTCAGCACCCACTGTAATCAATGGGGACGCACGCAGACAGCAGGAAACAAAGTTTACTGCCACGTGCGTTCCAGATACGCCCATATGCGAGTAGGGGCTTATCTTGGGGTTTTGGGTCTGCACACCAGCTGTCCCCAACCCGGGGTCTACCCCATCTTCCTGCTGAATCTTCTATTATGAAGAAACAGGGGTGCTAGCACATGGTAAAGTGGCCTGGAACACCCAAAGCTCCTAAAAGGACAGGAACAGGGAGATCTCACTTTGTAGTATACAAGACACATAGTAAGCCAGAGACAGACTCGGGTCACAGTGCTGTACTATGACTAGGATATCTTTTTTGGGTGGACCAACCCTTTAAAGAAGAATTTCAGGCAAAACATTTCTTAACCCTTGCAGTGAGGCTACCCCTGCACTGCAAGTGTTAATTGCTTTTTTTTTGTCTAGGGACAAAAATAAAGTTAGACTCACCTAATCCTCTGAGCTGGCTTGCTCTTAGGCCGGTCCTTCCAGCGTCACTGCTCCTACACTGCAGTGATGGAATGTCTCTCGGCATCCTCACATCCAATACACCGTGTATTGGATGTGATAACTCGAGGATCCTTAAGGTGCCCATACACTGTTAGAATTTCGGGCGATTGCAGAAGGAACCGGCTGAAAATTGTACAGTGTGTGCCGTTGTCGGCACCGTTTCGATCGGTATCCCTCAGTCAGCTGATCGAAGGAGCCGGTCGTAACATCTTCGATCGATCAGAGCCAGCAGCCAATGAGCTGCCCGCTCTGATCGGGTATTCTGACAGGAGCCGGTGGGATTCCTCTATTGACACGCTGCTTGTGTTAATGGAGAATTCGGGTCAATTTTTTCGTTCAGCCTGTGGGTTGAACGAAAAAAAAATAGATCTGTGTATGGCCAGCCTTAGACTGCTGCAGTGGAGGGGGAGAGAGGCTGGAAGGAGCAGTCTATGAGCAGGTCGCGTAAGAGGATCAGGCGAGCATAACATTTTTATTTTGGTGCCTAGCGGTTAACCCTTGCAATGCCGGAGTAGCCCCACTGCAAGGTTTAAGAAAAGATTTGCCTGGAGTTCTACTTTAAGGATCATACACACAGCTATTTTACATGTAACTGAGTATTCACTCTCTGATTATTTCAAAGCAGCTGTCACTGTCACTTAACCACTGATCAGCCACAACCATCCAGCTGGGCACTGAAAAAAACATTCAGAAATGTATAGAATATGCATTTTGTTATTTCTAGGTGTCACCAAACTTCATTCAAACCTGGGCTGTAAAATGAAGATCAGAAAACGTAATAAAAAAAATAATAATTGGCTTTCGCCAACATAGAATAGTTTGTACTCCCCTTTCACACACGTGCGATGCAACACAGGATAATGAGCGGCACGCAGGTGACGCTACTACTTGGCACTGGCACCCGAAACGCAGCAGGGAAAAAACACACGTCTCTGCCCGCGCGTTGATGCGCAACAAACACAGAACTCCAACTGCTGCCTGAGTTACTCTGCTGCGTTTGTTGTGCGTAGGGCAGCCAATTGAAATGATTGTGAGGTGCGGCAAAACGCACATTCATGCACACCATAAGTGCGAACAGGGCCTCAAAGAATATTTCCACGTTTGCAGTAACGTTTGAAAAAAAAAAACACATTATATGTTTGTTATTTGTTCCTACTCACACAGCATTCCGCCCATACCTGATTTCTTACTTCTCTAGTCTGTAACAAGTTTGTTCTTTTATGTTTTGCTGACAATGTAAATACTGGAGGTACAGAAGGAGGCAAAGTATTTATTCTTTAACAAACAGTAAACATTGCACTGTACTGCAATGATTATACAAACACAATCTGCATTACAAACACAGAATGTTCTCACCACTGGAGGGGAAAGAGCTGGGACTTGTCTGTGGAGATACAACTCAGCTGTATAAGCGCCAATATCCAACTATAAGGACTAAAAGGAGCCCATAGGCCTGGGAGGTCAGCTGTATGTGCATGCATGACCCAACCATACAAGCTGGAAGATGTTCACGTGGAAAGTCTTGTCAGAACATTCCATAATGCCATCAGAAACTTGACAAATGTTTAATATTTTGGTTGATTTTAAAATTTGATTTTGGAATGAATGGCGTTTCCTGCATTAAAGAACTCCTGGCAGCAATTTTAAATAACCATTGCAGTGGTGTTCCCCCCCCACCCCCCCACACTGCAAGGGTTAACTGCTAATTTTTGCCTTGGGAAAAAAAAGTTATACTCACCCAATCCCCATGACTTGGCTTGCTCTTAGACCGGTCCCTGGAGACCCTTTCCCCCTCCTCTGCAGCAGAGGAGGAAAGAGGCTGGAGAAGCGCTGCCAGCTCTGAGGATCGGGTGAGCATAACTTTTTTTCTTTATTAACACTGGGCAAATATGATCAGTTAATTCTTGCAGTGCGGGGGGAGCACCACTGCAAGGGTTAATAAAGTTCTTTAAAACCACATTCA